GATGACTCTCATATGCAGCAGAGTGCCAGTACTAGTGCCGCTCTACATTTTGGTGAACTGGCGAGCATCAGCGGCCTAGTAAATCCTGGTCTTTCACATACCAGCACTGCAGTATTACTTGGTGACGTGGCGAGTCCCATACATGCAGTACAAGCTGGTGCAGTGGCGAGCACAAGTATTGTCCCGCAACCACCAAGAATTCGCACACAGGCTGGTAGAGCCCCTAATATCCTTCCGGATGTGCTTGCAAATCCTGGTTGGTAGCCCACAAATTCTGCAGCACCCGTACTTCCTCCATTCACTGCCCAGTCCAGAATTCAGGTGGAAACAGCAAATTTAACTACTCCCATTGTTTTTTTTGGAGCTGATTTCATGGAAGCTCTGTATGCATTGATTGTGGATCAAAGCAATTTATATGCACAACAATTTATCGCCGCCAACGCAAATTCAAACCTTGCCAGACCATTCGAATGGAAACCCATTACGGTTTCCGAATTAAAATTTTTTTTTGGGCCTAACCCTCAACATGGGCATTACTAAAAAAATGAATTGCGGTTGTATTGGTCCACAGACCAGATTCATCATATGCCCGTGTTATTTTCAGCCATGGCCAGGCATAGATATGAGAGTTTAATGTATTTTATGCATTTCAACGACAATACACTCTGTTGTCCTTAGGGTGACCCTCAATTTGACCGGCTCCACAAAATTCTGCCCCTCATAAATCACCTTAACCAAAAATTTGCAGATGTCTATACTCCCCAGCAAACAATCTGCGTTGATGAGTCCCTCATTAATTTTTTTTTTTGGCTGACTTGTATTCAAACAATTTCTCCCCAGCAAGCGTGCCAGATATGGGGTCAAGATATATAAGACCTGTGAGAGGGCAAAAGGCTATACATATAAGTTTCAGATTTACGGGGGAAAAGATAGTTACGTGGAGCCCCCCGGATGCCCAGACTACATGAGGAGTAGTGGCAAGATAGTTTGGGACTTGGTGTCATCCTTTTTCCATATGGGGTACCACTTATAAGTGGACAATTTATCGTGCCAGTATTTAGACATTTTGTACAATTTTGGAATAGGCGCATGTGGCACGGTGCGACCTAATGTATGCCCACCATTAGAAGTGGATGCAGGGCGGTATATTCTAATGGTGGGCATACCACACACTTTTTCTGGCAGAGATTTATTCTCTTTATTTCATTCAGCCCACAGTCTGCATACAAAAAAAAAAAGAACATAGCATATATACCCAACAAGGACCAGCGACATACTGGTACATCACTGGACTTTGAATGGTTATGCCTGGATGATGCCTACAGCTGCAGGCATTATCCTGGTATTTTTTTTTTCAGTTGGAGATCAGCTTTCATGTAAAAGCAATCCTAGTGGCTAAATAGCAGCAGGGTTGCTTTTACAAGCAGCAGGAGATTATGCCCCCCCCTCCCCCGCTGCCTTCCATGACCTTCTCGGGCAGTCCCGTGCCATCAGGGGAACCTGAGAATGCAGCCGGCAATTCTGCCAACTGACCATAGATCTTATTGGAGACTGGAATGGTGCCAATCATCTCTATAGTCTAAGAAATAGGAAGCTACAAGCATTTCTTCACTTCAGTTTTGCAGGATATAAACAGCGCCATTTGTAAATTGGGAAAGCATCTGATCACACCGATCTTGGTGAGATTAGATAATGTAAGGGCAGCGGAGATATCTAGAGTCTGATGGACCCCAGATTTCTCAAAAAAGAATATATGACAATGCCCGTTAAAGTTATAGGGGATATTTGCATTCCCTGTGATAGCATGAAAAGTGATAAAAAAAAAGAAAGGGGGAGTGTAAAAATAATTAAAAAAATCAAAATAACTTAAAAAAAAAAAAAAAACACCCTCGCCCCCCCCGCACATGCACCACGTACTTGAGCGTTGACCCTGTGTTGGTATGTAAACAGCGGTTGCACCATGCATGTGAGGTATCTCTGGGAATGTCAGATCAAGTGCAGTAATTCTAGACCTCCTCTGTAAATCTAAAATGGTATCTTGTAAAGGCTTTTAAAAAGCATTGCCTATGGATATTAAAAATGTATGCAGTTTGTCGCCATTGCACAGGGCATGCGCAGTTTTAAAGCATGTCATGTTTGGTATCTATTTACTCGGCATAACATCATATTTTATATTTAACCAAATAGTTGCCCAATATATTGTGTTTGTGTGCATTAAAAGTAAAAAAAGTGTATTTTTTAAAAAATTATTTGCGTTTGAAAAATTGCTTCTTTTTTTTTTACACAAAATTGTCACTTAAATGATTTATTGCTCACACATGCCAAAGGGCTATGTGGAATTACTCCCCAAAATACATTCTGCTTCTTCTCCCGAGTATGAGGGTACCACATGTGAGAGACTTTTTGGCTTTCTAGCCAAATACAGGACTTTGTGTAAAAAGAAAAACAAATAATTTTGTCATTTTCCAAAAACTTGTGGAAAAAAATAAATCTTCCATGGACTGAATATGCCTCTCAGCAGATAGCTTAGGATGTCTACTTTCCAAAAAGTAAATGTCCTGGTATTTTAGCACCTCACGAAATGTGATGGGCAGTCAGAAAGTAAAAGTTGTGTAAATCCCATTATCTATCTCATAGTTTGTAGATGCTATAATTTTCACACAAAGCAATCAATATACACTTTTTGGGATTTTGTTTTAACCAAAAACATGTGGCAAAATACATTTTGGCCTAAATTTATGACGAAATTTAGTTTTTTTGGATATTTTGTATGACAGAAATTACAAAATATACATTTTTTTCACAAGATTTTTTTGTTTTTAGCAACAAAGATAAAAAGCACACAGGTAATCAAATACCACCAAACGAATGCTCTATTTGTGTGAAAAAAGGACATAAATTTCATTTATGTACCGTATTGCTTGACTACGCAATTGTTAGTTAAACTATTGCAGCGCTGTATAGCCAAAAAATGGTGTAAACTCCATTATCTATACCATAGTTTGTAGACGCTATAACTTTCACAAAAAGCAATCAATATACACTTATTTGGATTTCATTTTACCAAAAACATGTAGCAGAATACATTTTGTCCTAAATTTATGACTAACTTTGAGTTTACTATATATTTTTTATAGCTGAAAGTAAAAAATATAATTTTTCTTCAAAATGTTCGGTCTTTTTTTGTTTATAGCGTGGAAAATAAAAAAGTGCACAGGTGATCAAATACCACCGAAAGAAAGCTCTATTTGTGTGGAAAAAAGGACGTAAATTTTGTTTGGGTGCAGCATTGCATGACCGCGCAATTATCAGTTGAAATAGTGCAGCACCGAATAGTAAAAAGAGGCCTGGTGTCAGGAATGGACTGGCCAGCAATGGTGGGACTCACCTGCCTTTTGATCTGCAGTACCAGGGCTGGCCAGCGGGTGCTCCCAGCAATCAGAGACTCAACCTTTCAGCCAGCTAACACCTGGAACTGATGATACTGGTGTATTTAAGGGATGGCCAGACTTGCAGACACTGCCTTGGTGTTGTGTTTGTCCTGGGCCCTGTATCTGTCCTGCATCCTGTTTCTGTTCCTTTGCTACCTGTTCTGATCCCTGGCTTGTGACCCTGACCATCCCTCTGCCTGACCCTCTGTACTACGCTGCTTGCTACCTGCTGAACCTGGCCTGTGACCCCGACCATTCTCCGCTTGCTCCTCCTGTACCTACCTGCCCAATTGATATTGACTCGGCCTGCCTGACGACGCTTGCTTGTATGTACTGTTATCTGTGGGTGGTTGGTTGGGTTTGTTTGCACTGTATTATGTTTAGTATTGCACTGCGTTTATGTTTGTATTGTTAGTGTTAATAAATTACATTGTTAATCATATATCTGAAGTCTGCGTTTCCCTGCTTCAGTCACACACCTCTGGTCATACCTGGGAGCCCTGACATTACACCAAGGCCAATCCTGACCAGAAGTGGCTGCACAGGGAAGCCATCTTGCTTGTTGATGGGAAGGATGGATCTTGATGAGGTTGTGTATTTATATCTGCTAGTGTTTGATGACAGGGAGTATGCTTATCAAACTCTGAAGGAGTATACCCGGGATGAACTGCTAGAATGTATACGGCTCGCTCATGTTCTAGTAGATCAGGGCACAGAGTTCTCTGAGGGGCAGCCTTTGATTGAGGTTTGTGCAGAGTTGGTTTCATCTGGTACCCCCGAATGCAGGGATGAATTTTTGCCACCATTTAGTGCAGACCAGGTAGAGTCCCTGGTGTGGTTATTAGAGGATGATGTGGGTTACTTTCTGGAGCGTTATTCTACATGTTCACCACAGACACTAAGAGATTGTATAAACGCAGTGCAGTCATTGACCAGACAGGCTTTGTGTAAGCTCAGCTTTGTTCAACCCATACTGCAGACATGGACAGACTTGTTGCACCCAGCCTCAGTCAGCTTACAAAAACCCAGTCCTGCTTCTAACTCTACTCCTGTATTCCCAACAGCTCCTCCAGTTACAGCCCAGTATACTTGGCTATCTACCGCATGTCAGTACCCTGTTCCCACTCGCTGCACCTATCCTGCCTTTAACCCTGTAAAAAAGCCCTCTGTAGCAACTGCTCCCTCTCCTGTTCCATCCTCCAGTTCTTCTCTGTCTCCAGCTGCTCCATTCGTTTGCAGACCTGCGTTTACTTGCAGTGCTCCAGTAGTTAAAACCAGAAAAAAGCGAAAATTCTTTCCAACCAATACCATCCTGCCAGTATCCAAACCGGTGAACCTGCCTTCCGTGACTCGGCCTGAAGCCTCTACTCGGCCTGAAGCCTCTACTCGGCCTGATGCCTGTACGCAGCCTGATGCCTCTCTTCAGCCTGATGCCTCTCTTCGGCCTGAAGCCTCTACTCGGCCTGAAGCCTCTACTCGGCCTGAAGCCTCTACTCAGCCGGACGCCGGCATTCAGCCTGATGCCTCTACCCAGCATGATGAACTGATCCAGCCTGACGATCCTATTAGGCCAGTTGACTCGATGCCCGCTGTTGATCCAGATGATCCGGTACCTGATCCGGTGCCCGCTGTCGTGCCAATTGACTCAGAGCCCGCTGTCGTACCTGGTGACTCGGTGCCCACTGCCTTGCCAGATGACGCGGTGCCCGCTGGCAAGCCAAATGACCTGATACCTGGTGACCCAGTGCCCGCTGTCATACCTGGTGACCCGATGCCTGCTGTCGAACCAGACAATCCGGTACCTGATGACCTGGTGCCCACTGTCGTGCCTGTTGACTCGGAGCCCACTGCCTTGCCAGATGACGCGGTGCTCGCTGTCAAGCCAAATGACTTGATGCCTGGTGACCCGATGCCCGCTGTCCAGTCAGACGATCCAATGTCTGACCCAGTGCCCGTGGTCATACCAGTTGACTCGGAGCCCACTGCCTTGCCAGATGACGCGGTGCTCGCGGTCGAGCCAAATGACCTGATGCCTGGTGACCCGATGCCCGCTGTCCGGTCAGACGATCCAATGTCTGACCCAGTGCCCGCGGTCATACCAGTTGACTCGGAGCCCACTGCCTTGCCAGATGACACGGTGCCCGCTGTCGAGCCAAATGACCTGATGCCTGGTGACCCGATGCCCGCTGTCCAGCCAGACGATCCAATGTCTGACCTAGTGCCAGCGGTCATGCCAGTGGACTCGGAGCCCACTGTCGTGCCTGGTGACTCGGTGCCCGCTGCTCCGCCTGGGGGCCCGAGACCTGTCGCTCCGCCTGGGGGTCCAGCGCCCGCCGCTCCACCTGGGGGTCCGGCGCCCGCCGCCGCCCCGCCTGGGGGCCCGAGACCTGTCGCTCCACCTGGGGGTCCGGCGCCCGCCGCTCCGCCTGAGGGCCCGAGACCTGTCCTCCGAGGCCTTGAGGCCCGAGACCTGTCGCTCCACCTGGGGGTCCGGCGCCCGCCGCTCCGCCTGAGGGCCCGAGACCTGTCGCTCCACCTGGGGGTCTGGCGCCCGCCGCTCCGCCTGAGGGCCCGAGACCTGTCGCTCCACCTGGGGGTCCGGCGCCCGCCACTCCGCCTGAGGGCCCGAGACCTGTAGTTCCGCCTGGGGGTCCAGCGCCCGCCGCCCCGCCTGGGGGCCCGATGCCTGTCGCCCCGCCTGGGGGCCCGATGCCTGTTGCCCCGCCTGGGGGCCCCGATGCCTGTCGCTCCACCTGGGGGTCCGGCGCCCGCCGCTCCGCCTGAGGGCACAAGACCTGTCGCTCCACCCGGGGGTCCGGCGCCCGCCGCTCCGCCTGAGGGCCCGAGGCCTGTAGTTCCGCCTGGGGGTCCGCGCCCGCCGCCCCGCCTGGGGGTCCGATGCCTGTCGCCCCGCCTGGGGGCCCGAGGCCTGTCGCTCCATCTGGGGGTCCGGTGCCTGCCGCCCCGCCCGGGGGCCCGGTGCCTGTCGCCCCGCCCGGGGGGCCGAGGCCTGTCGCCCGCCCCGCCCGGGGGCCCGAGGCCTGTCGCCCCGCCCGGGGGCCCGAGGCCTGCCGCCCCGCCCGGGGGCCCGGTGCCTGCCGCTCCGCCCGGGGGCCCGGTGCCTGCCGCTCCGCCCGGGGGCCCGGTGCCTGCCGCTCCGCCCGGTTGCCCGATGTGCCTCTGCCCGGGGTCCTGCCTGATGTGCCTCTGCCCGGGGGTCCTGCCCGATGTGCCTCTGCCCGGGGTCCTGCCCGATGTGCCTCTGCCCGGAGTCCTGCCCGATGTGCCTCTACCCGGAGTCCAGCCCGATGTGCCTCTGCCCGGTGTGCCTCTGCCCGGAGTCCAGCCCGATGTGCCTCTGCCTGGAGTCCAGCCCGGTGTGCCTCTCTGCCCGGAGTCCAGCCCGGTGTGCCTCTGCCCGGAGTCCAGCCCGGTGTGCCTCTGCCCGGTGTGCCTCTGCCCGGAGTCCAGCCCGATGTGCCTCTGCCCGGTGTGCCTCTGCCCGGAGTCCTGCCCGATGTGCCTCTGCCCGGAGTCCTGCCCGATGTGCCTCTGCCCGGAGTCCAGCCCGATGTGCCTCTGCCCGGTGTGCCTCTGCCCGGAGTCCAGCCCGATGTGCCTCTGCCCGGAGTCCAGCCCGGTGTGCCTCTGCCCGGAGTCCAGCCCGGTGTGCCTCTGCCCGGAGTCCAGCCCGGTGTGCCTCTGCCCGGAGTCCAGCCCGGTGTGCCTCTGCCCGGAGTCCAGCCCGGTGTGCCTCTGCCCGGTGTGCCTCTGCCCGGAGTCCAGCCCGATGTGCCTCTGCCCGGAGTCCTGCCCGGTGTGCCAGTCTTTGATATCCCGCCAGTTACCAGACCCGGGGTGGAACATTTTTCCCAGCTAGGACTGTTTGGAGCGTCCTGAGGCCGCTCCTTGAGGGGCGGGTACTGTCAGGAATGGACTGGCCAGCAATGGTGGGACTCACCTGCCTTTTGATCTGCAGTACCAGGGCTGGCCAGCGGGTGCTCCCAGCAATCAGAGACTCAACCTTTCAGCCAGCTAACACCTGGAACTGATGATACTGGTGTATTTAAGGGATGGCCAGACTTGCAGACACTGCCTTGGTGTTGTGTTTGTCCTGGGCCCTGTATCTGTCCTGCATCCTGTTTCTGTTCCTTTGCTACCTGTTCTGATCCCTGGCTTGTGACCCTGACCATCCCTCTGCCTGACCCTCTGTACTACTACGCTGCTTGCTACCTGCTGAACCTGGCCTGTGACCCCGACCATTCTCCGCTTGCTCCTCCTGTACCTACCTGCCCAATTGATATTGACTCGGCCTGCCTGACGACGCTTGCTTGTATGTACTGTTATCTGTGGGTGGTTGGTTGGGTTTGTTTGCACTGTATTATGTTTAGTATTGCACTGCGTTTATGTTTGTATTGTTAGTGTTAATAAATTACATTGTTAATCACATATCTGAAGTCTGCGTTTCCCTGCTTCAGTCACACACCTCTGGTCATACCTGGGAGCCCTGACACCTGGTCATTAAGAGGGGTAAATCATCAAGATGGCAAGTGTTTAAGGTGGACCCCCAACTCAAAGATTGCCATACACCATATACACTTGAACAGATAAATGGAACTTTAGTTAACTCTCATTAAGCCCCATGTCAGTGTACACCACTATTGTCACTTGTTGCATTTATTAGGGACACGCTGAGCAGATGCCTGCTCTACCTGTCCAGCTTATCTTGGCTACCTCATTCCCAGTAACTGAATGAAAACCTGCCATGCCCCTAGTGCAGACTCCATGCACTCACTACATTAGTTCTTCCTCTTCAGTACCTGTGTGCAGGCCGGGGACCTCTGCACGCTGATGATGCTGCTCCCATTGCTATGGGAGATGGGGGAGATAATGCTGACAACTCCCTCACTGCAGGAGGATGTCCCACCTTTCACAGGTACATGCTTAACAACAGGCTACTGTCTAGACCTTCATCACTGGTAATCACTACCTGTACTCTACACTGCATTAACTCTAGCAGAGTTGATTTCATACCCCAGTGTGCCTACTGACCTACGGACTAGGTATAGAGCTCCGGGTACTTTCATATACACCCCTTGAATAAGTTCAGACCAGGCAGAATAACCTTATAATAATCTTCAATGCAATAGATTAACAGGCAAAGTCTTTTTCCCTAACCAGTCCTAACTATAGCAGATGCCCTAGCATACTTGCCCAAGTTACAGTCCATGAAAAAGCAAGTCCCTAAAGGTGGTGCTCCAAGTCATTGGTGGCTTTGGGATGGACGGCAGGTGGCTGCAACCTTCTAGGCACAGGAACACAGGTTCATTCTTCTCTCTCTCTGCCTCGTTGCTGCCCAGACTCCGTCCCCTTTTTTATATACACAGGACCAATGGGTTAGACCTGAAAACCCTGTGAAGACAGACTCAGGAATGACAGCAAAAATACATTAACCCCATATCCTCCCAGCCGGGGACTAACTAACTACTAGTAGGCAACCTGCCTATACATATACAATAACGTATAAAGCCATTTATAAATCTGCCCCAAAATACATCACCGATCTTGTCTCTAAATATCACCCAAACCTTCCTCTCCGCTCCTCCCATGACCTCCTGCTCTCTAGCTCCCTTGTGTCCTCCTCCCATGCTCGTCTCCAGGACTTCTCCAGATCTTCCCCCATCCTCTGGAACTCTCTACCCCAATTTATCAGACTATCGCCTACTCTGCTCACTTTTAGGCGATCTCTGAAAACCTATCTCTTCAGGGAAGCCTATCCTGCCCTCAGCTAATACTGGAATCTTCTACTCTTCTCAACCAGTCCATCCCCCACAGTTATTACATTTTGTACCACTAGCCCTCCCTCCTAGATTGTAAGCTCCAAGGAGCAGGGCTCTCAAATCCCTCTTGTATTGAACTGTATTGTTACTGTACTGTCTCCCTTTATATTGTAAAGTGCTGAGCAAACTGTTGGCGCTATATAAATCCTGTATAATAATAATAATAATGATAATACATATGTAAGGGAACAATTTCATTGTTTTTAACTGAGTGTGTTGAGGTTTCTACATGTCCATAAGGGCGTGTCACCAGGGGGCGGTTAAATCAGGCATTTGAGTCAAAGTTTTACCACCCAGCTAAACAGGGCTGTACATATGGTACAGCAATGCTGCTTTGCTTTACCACCCAGCTAAACAGGGCTGTACATATGGTGCAGCCATGTTGCTTTGCTATGTGGCTGAGGCAAAATGAAAGCCCCTGTTACATTTGGCATGCAGTACCACCACTGAACGTGACAAAATCAAGTGAATGGGACCATGCTACAACTGCTCTGTAACCACTGTGGGAACTCGCTTATTAGTGGTAGAGCTTCTTCAAAGGACACGGCAACTCGCTTCTTTTTTAAGGGCCTTTTTGCCCAATTTTATTTAAAGGAAAAGTTTCAGAAACACAAATGCTTCCCACGCAGGGGTATCCACCATCACACAAAACAAAATTCAGCCTCCTGGCTTGTACACAGTTTTAACTCTGTCTCCTGCAGAGTCTTCCCAAAATATGGCACTAGCACACAGCTAGTCTGGCTTCCACCTGTTGCCAAGGCAGAGACCTCCCGTCTGCCGGGGTGGAGCCCTCCTGACTCCTGCCGGGGTGGAGCCCAGAATCATGGCCTGGCCTCCACAAAAAGGCCTGCACACACCTGTGCAATCAGTGTGCTGGCTGCTCCCAAAGTATGGGCCCAGGATTGGAGATTTCATCCCTCTCAAATCTCTAAGAAATCTCCAGGCTACAGGTCCCAAAACAGGCTTTACAAACCAAAGAGGAAACTGATAAACCAGTTTCCTCTGCATTATGAGATCTGCCTGGAGCCCCTCAACCTGTATAGTTGAGAATCCTGGGTCTCCATCATGATTTCCACTGTGGCAGGATACCGCACTGCCACACCACGTACAATGCGCGTGGCTGCGACACAGGGGTGGCAGGTATGTCAACCCTTCCCACTGTTAGCCCAATTCAGCTACACTCACAATTTATTAATTCCAATAATGTTTGTAAAGATGGGGTTGGGAGGGGGGTGGTTAAAAAAATGATCTTCCCCGGGGTGCCAGATATGCTTGGTGTGGCACTGGTTTGGTCTGGGGAGAGGGTAGTGTTAGATGCACTAGCAGATTAAGACCTCATGCACACTAGGCCTAACCACTTGTCTACCGGGCACTTTTACCCCTTTCCTGCCCAGGCCAATTTTCAGCTTTCAGTGCTGTTGAACTTTGAATAACAATTGCGCAGTCATACAACATTGTACCCCTATGAAATTTTTAGCATTTTTTTTTCACACAAATAGAGCTTTCTTTTGGTGGCATTTAATTTTTTGCACTATAAAAAAAAAAAAAAATTTGAAAAAAAAGTTTTTCTTTATTTCTATTGTACAATTTTGCAAACGTAATTTTTCTCCTTCACTGGCGTGCATTGATGAGGCTGCACTGATAGGCAGCACTGATGGGCACTGATGAGGTGGCACAGATAGGCAGCACAGATGGGCACTGATAAGCTGCACTGATGAGGAGGCATTGATGAGGCGGCACTGGTGGGCATTAATGAGCAGGCACTGATGATGCTGCACTGATATGCAGCACTGATGGGCACTGATAGGTGGCACTGATAGGCGGCACTGATGGGCAGCACTGACTGGCAGCACTGACAGCACTGACGCGAGGCACTGACAGATGGCACTGATTGGTGACACTGATGGGTGGCACTGCTGGGCAGCTCTGATGGGTGGCACTGCTGGGCACTGATGGGTGGCACTGCTCGGCATTAATGGGTAGCACTGCTGGGCAGTACAGCTGGGCACTGATGATCAGGGCACTGATTATTAGTGCCCCGATTATCAGTGCAGATCTGCTCTGTGACATTTGCGGGTTATCAGCAGTACTTTCCTCGCACTGTGAGAGAAGTGCTGCTGATAACTGGCAACTGTATTTACACAGCTGATCACGTGGTAAAAAGGCCGCTGTGATTGGCCTTTTACTTATTCATGTGATCAGCTGAGTCCGAAGGACACTGCGATCACTGACAGTGCCAGGTACACACACCGCTGGGGGCACGCGGGGGGGGGCACTTTCTGGAAGGACGTCATATGATGCCCTCCCTGAACAACCGCGCTGTAGCTGTCTTTCGGCTATAACGCGGTTGTAAAGTGCTTAAAAATGCCACTTTTACAGGTGTTTGGCAATTTTTTTAACCTGCAATAGCCCCTTTGTGTTATCCTAGGTGTCCATGCACACATATGCATTTACATGCATATTAGAAGATGAGTGTCTAGTCTACAGGCTGAATGAAAATAACAAAACATCAAAAGGGCATTCAGGGGAGGAGCTTTTCAACAGAAAAAAAAAAATCTTGAGGTGCCAAAATGCAAATGTAAACGTGTTAAACGCTTGGCGTGTTCAGACTCGTTTGGGTGTTAATGCATTCCACTGGCCAGAATAAATTATTATTCTGGCCAGTGGAATCCATTAACGCTCAAACACACAATGCACCTAAATGCACGTGCGCAATACAAGGCTTTAGGCACTCTTTAAGCAGCTTTTCTCATGCCAGACGTTCTGTTGCTCAGAGGAGAAAATCAAAAACCTGTGTCCATGAGGCCTTAGTTGGACTTAATTAACAAATTAAAGCTGAACTCCAGCTAACAATTTTTAAGCAGTTAGAGCAATAGTTTTTTTCCCTTTTGGGATCAAAGTTTTAGGGCTTGTTCAAACAAGGACACTGTGCAAGAAATCCATGTTCCATGCATGCTTCCTGCACTGCATTCAAAATGTGGGTGTGCAATCTTCTGCGGGTGTCATTCCTAACACCACCCCAAAGGCAAGCATAGTGTGTTTGCCTGCTCCGCTTTGCATGGTACCCCAGTACAATGCGACACTGTGGTGTGTTTTTGAAAAGTAGCACTGTGGTAAGTTGCACAGGAATCTTACAGGAACATGAAGTGTGAACTAACCCTTACATAAATGAATTAAAACTGACCATTGTAAGCACCCCTGTCAGTGTTAAATGGTTTGTCTGAACCCTTTAACTGCCACTCTTGCTGGATAGCTTGTAATGTTAAAAGAAGTTGAAAAATAACAGATTTACTGGCCAGATCAACAGGGAAAAAAAAAAAAGAAAAACATCTAATAAAATAAAACTAAAGCAGCTACCACATGTACAGTAATTATTAGTAAGCTGAAGTATAATACATTTTTGATTTTGGATTTAATACCAGTTTAAGAACTTTCAGCAGCTGATTTAATCACTTACTGAGTCTGTAGCTTCTTAATCTTTTAACCCTTGTCTATGATCCTGTTTAGGCTGGTGCCACGACCACTGCTCCAGTTTTTTCTGTTTCAGGGTAGATTCTTTCTATAGTATTGTCCTATGGAGCCACCCCTGTATGCAGGTACTAGAGCTGTGTCTCAATATGCAGTGTACATCCATAGAAACACACAGCACTGTAGCCTAGGATGGCAAGGCACTCCCTTCTTCCTCCCTCCTCCTTCTCCCTTCCTTCTTCAAGCTAACAGACTCACTCAAGTCTGCACTGTCCACTAAAGGGGCAAAACTTTTTTGTAGTTTTGGATAGAGTGGAGATGGATTACAACCCCAATCAATTTTTGTTTTTTTTTAGAGAGTGGAGTGTGCGGGGAGTGGGATGAGGATACAGTTGGCTGCAGGGGCAGACTGACCATTTGGAAACTCAGGCACTACACGATTGCCTGGGGTCAGTAGGAGGCCCCATGAGATGCCCCTGGCACCTTTTTCATAGGCTTTTTTGAGTTTGGGCAAGGACACAGGTGCCCCATGATCCCCTATTGCCCGGGGGCCCCATGAGTTGTCAGTCCGCCCCTGGTGGGCTGAGCTTATTATCCTGCTTGAAAGAGACCCGGATACCAGGATTGGTCATACCTGTAGTTCCACAAGGGGGATAGCACCACCACTGCTAAACCAGATCCGTACCTGCTGATTGGTCATATAGCTGTGTCCAATATTGTGAAGGCATATTGGCCCCTTAGGGTCGTTACATGAAGGTGAGGGGGCGATCCAGATGGTGACGGATCCTATTTCCCTACACCTGCATCACTTATGTTTTTTGCTGGAATTTTCACTATATCCAGTTTGACGATTTCACACGTGGACATTTGTTCTATATTGTCATTACTGGTGGCACGTCTTTGGCATTTTTCTGCTTAGTAGTGCATCTTATATTTATGTAGCACAGTGTGCCACTTTTCAATTATTTTGTGTTGTCACACTTGATGTTCATTTATTAGAACATGTAGTCCCAATTTAGGGACTGGAGCACGGCATTTACAATTTTATTTTATTTTTATTCTTTGTGGTCACTTATCATGTTTCTGAGACACATTTATGTGGAAGGACTTTGTTTGGTCCTAATGTCTGTCTTTAGTCAGGTTTCATCCTGACCGTCTTATCGTCTATTTCTACAGGCAACATTCATGCCAGTTGTTTGTCCATTCTCACTGCACAGTTGCAGGCATACTTTATGCCATGTGTCCATCACTTTGTGATTTATGTCACCTTTGCCCTTGTTTAAGGGATGCATGTGAGTATTTGCACTTTTTCTCTTTAGTCTTTGATTTGCATTTATATATTTGTTTGTTTTTTTCCTTATGTGTGTATTTTTTGCACATTATTGCACGATATTGTTCAAACCAGATGTTTTTTACATCCCACACAGAAGAGTTTATAAGAGGAATATTTATTGTATCTATCTGTTGATATAATTTTGTGAGTATATATAGCATATAGGTATTTTGTGTGGGAGCGCAGCACCGTTTTTCTAACTTTTTTTGTTATTCTATTCAGGTGTATAGCCAGGTGATAGCAGCTTCCATAACTTAAGATATAAGTATATTCTGGGTAGCGATGGTGGTTTACATACAATCAATCTTTATTGCTGTCTGTACCCCTGTTAAGGAGATTCATCCTCTCTATTTGTTCTATTTACCATTATTGAAAGTGAAAGCACAAGAAAATCTAAAATTTTGGGTTGTCCCCAGAAATGTAATAGAGGGGAAACCCCTATTAGGGGGTCCCCAAGGGATTCCCTTAATTTGCAGGGATTTCCTTTCACTTCCTGTTTGGCTATGGGACTGGAAGTGAAGAGAAATCTCTGAAATGGGACACAGATGGTGGAAAAAATATCTGATGGAGTTATAAACCCTCCCTTGCTCTATCCAAAATGAATAAAAAAAGTTTTGCTTATAGTTCTACTTTAATTCTTTTCTGTAAAGACCAGGAGTTCAGGGAAGCAGCACTGAGAATTGTAAATTATGAGTGCTGCTAAATTATTTTAACAAATTTATTTTGTTGTGCTCAATGTATTAAGCTAAAAACACTGATGGTTTAATACTACTACTTTGAGGATAAATTGCTATGGCTATAACTACAGATGATAAAGAGGTTCTAAAGTCAAACTGTTTTTTACCCTAATGCATTCTCAGCATTAAGGTAAAAAAAACACTGTATGCATTTGGTGACCAGCAGCCTGTTGATTTTGCCAAAAATACAGTGTGCTTTCTACTTCCTGTGAGTTTAATTGTTATCTTCTAAAGACCACTTGCCCTCCAGAGGATTTACCCCCCTTCCTGACCAGGCAATTTTTTGCATTACGGCGCTGTGTAACTTTAACTGACAATTGCGCGGTCATTCAAAGCTGCACCCAAATGAAATCCTCAAATCACGGCTTGAACTATCTTGCTTTGCATGTAATGAGTCTATCTCATATATTAGTTTCACCTTTTAAGTTGCATTACTGAAATAAATGAACTTTTGCATGATATTCTAATTTTTTGAGTTTCACCTGTAATTGGGATTTTCTTTTTTTTAATTTTTACTCACTTTTTAAAATTTTACTCAATTTTTACTTATTTTTGTTTAGCGACTTATAGTGGGACTGCGGCAGGCATTCTGACACTGGGGCGAACTGAGTTAGTGTCACTGACATCCCCAGTGACACCAATACAGTGATCAGTGCTAATAAAAAGCACTGGCACTGTACTAAAGGCACTGGGCATGAAGGGGTTAACATCTGGAGCAATCAAAGGGTTAACTGTGTGCTGTGTGTCATTTTACATTATGTTCTGTGTGTGTGCTTCACTGTGAGCACACTGCTGTGCACAGCCATGGAAAGCAGTGTGCAGGAGCTGACAGGGAGGGGAACTGTTTTGTTTACTAACAGTTCTCCCCCCTGTCGGAGATCCTTGGCAATGACTGGGCGCCAGCGAGTAATCACCGTCCGGGACCGGGTGATTGACAGCCGCGGCCACGAACGGTGGCACAGGTAGGGCGCGTGCGTTCCCTACCCGGAAATGCAAAAATGCACAGCTGCTGCCCTGTAGCACTATTTCTGCTATGGGGCAGAGCTAAAGCAGTTAAAACTTTTAATCCCACTATCCCTCATGTATTAGAGATGGTAAAAGCAGACTTGTTTGATGTTCAACTTGGGTGGCAACCATGGCTCCCTCCATAGATACATAGGAGAAGTCGATGTAGCCACCCAGGGGCAGAAAGTATGTAGTTTACAGGATTATTAAGTGAAAATAAAGAACAAAAGCCCAAAAAAAAGAAAACAAACACAGCCATCTCATTCAAGCACTGGTGAACTGCAAAATACTATATTTTTGTTTTTGGGTTTATATATGTTTTTTCACCTGTCTAACTGTTTATTTGTAGTACAGGCAATTAGATTTACATGCTGTTCAAAGTATTTGTGTTTATGAAATGAAATGTCCTTGAATTGCTGGTTTATTGTACAAGGATAAAAGACATGCATGGTGTAGTTCCTTGTTTATGGGCTGTGGAGAAATTCATGGATGAAACATTACATTGATGTGGTTAGTGAAATGAGGAAGTGGTTATGAGTCACAGAAAGTGAGTTGGAATACTTTGTTTACTTAATTTGGGAGAAGAGTGTCCTAATTTGTGTAATTTTATGTGGTGTAACCACACTTTCAGGTGGTCTGTCATGTACATTTTTTCCAAATGTCAGTGGTTTATGAAATTAACATATTATCTATCTTACTTTATTATACAAAAATATTAGTTTTGGAGCAAAAAAAATCATGGAAAGATGACTGGTAAAACAGGTAAAAATAAAAATCTTGCACTATTCTTAATAAGATTCTTATATGCTGTGCCAATGTTCAAACCAATAGTTCTACCCAGCAATTGTCAACTGTTCTACTTGGCCCATACAATATAGGAGTCTATTTATAGAAAAATTCATTGGACAAATGTTACACACATTCAGGCATGCCCACTGAATTTTGGCTGTATTGTATCTAATAGATTAACCACTTGTGGACCGCGCTATAGCCGAATGACGGCTACAACACGGTTGTCCAGTCTTGGGAGGGTGAAATATGACGTCTTCCCAGAACTGCATCCCCAGCAGTGCGAAACCGGCGCTCTTTGTGATCACTGTTTCCTTTGGACACAGCTGATCACATGTCACAGTAAAGGGCCAATCACAGCGGCCTTTTACCACGTGATCACAACTGATTATGATATAAACACACACTTACCAGTTATCGGCAGTACTTTCCTAATGCTGTCACAGCGTGAGGAAAGTACTGCTGATAAACGGCAAGAGTGAATGGAGACATCTACACTAATAATCAGGGCAGACCCAAAAGTGCCCATCAGTGCCCAGCAGTGCTGCCAATCTGTGCCCATCAGTACCACCACTCAGTGCCACCAATCAGTGTTGCCTATCAGTGCCCATCAGTGCTGCCTATTAGTGCCCATCAGTGCCCATTGATCCCATCTTTGCCGCTCATCAGTGGTGCATATCAGTGCAGCCTAACAGTGCCCATCAGTGCTGCCTATTAGTGCCCATCTTTGCCGCCCATCAGTGGCACATATCAGTGCAGCCTAACAGTGCCCATCAGTGCTGCCTATCAATACATATTAGTACAGCCTCATCAACGCACATCAGCGAAGAACAATTACCAGTTTGCAAAATTTTATAATAGAAACTAAGAAAAACTTTTTTTTCCCCAAAATGTTTGATCTTTTTTTGTTTGTTTAGCAAAAAATAAAATACCCAGTGGTGATTAAATACCACCAAAAGAAAGATTTATTTGTGTGAAAAAAAAGATAAAAATGTAATATGAGTACAGTGTTGCGTGACTGCAATTGTCATTCAAAGTGCAACATCACTGAAACCTGAAAATTGGCCTGGGCAGGTAATTTCTTTATCATCAGCTCCATCTAGTAGCCAAAATGCCGCTTTGTTTTCTGAAATACCTCAATGAGACAATAAGTTGCATTTTGGTCACTAGATGGAACTGATGATCATAGGAGTTGATCTGTCAAAGAAGTAACAGCCAGAATTTGTCGAACATGCATGAGTGTGTGTGATATATGTCGAACAGATGTTTTATAAATAGACCCCTTGGAGTTTTTAATTGCAGCTAGTAACTACTGATTTTATTTTGAAATCTGCATCTTCTAATTCCCTGTACTGCCGCAAAGGCTGGGAAAAGAAGGTCAGCACTACAAGCCAATCCTTTGTGGCAGTGCACATATGCTGATAGGAGGACAGATGATCTCATCATTGTGCTGCTGCTCTTTCCTTGTTTAATCAGTAGTGGGGGGTGGTAAATGTTTTGACTAGTGTTCTTAGCCAGGCTGTGCTGTTAATGAAGTGAAGATCGACAACTTAGCTGTTGTCTATAAGGTTGCCACCTCATCCCTTTAAAACCAAACATATATTAATGACACAGGTTCTGGGGCTGATTTAATGCAGATAAGGCACCAAGTGAGTTTAATTACCACCTTAGTCAGCTGTGTAATTTATATGTGTTCGGATTTAAAGTGATAAGATGGCAACCCTAGTTGTCTATGACACTATAAGACTAGCTGAACAGAGTAACAAATCTTTTGGCAGGCAATACAGTTCACATGAAGTAAAGTGGTTGTAAACCTCAGACATGAATCATTAACAAAACATATCCCTGTATAGTGTTTGCTTGTCTCAATCCAGAGCACTAAGTGTAATTTCTGTATGCTGCTCAGTTCCTCTGCTATTTGCATGAGTTACCTCTGACAAGTTTTCCTGACGCCAAGAAAAAAAAGGTGACAGGGGAGGGACCTCTTGAACACAGCCTGTAATTGGCCCACACCCAGGGGCGGACTGACCATTTGGAAACTTGGGCACTGCTCGAGGGCCCGGGGTCAGTAGGGGGCCCCATGAGATGCCCCTGGTACCTTTTTCATAGGCTTTTTTGAGTTTGGGCAAGGACACATGGGCCCCATGATCCCCTATTGCCCGGGGGCCCCATGAGTTGTAAGTCCACCCCTGCCCATACCTGATGTTGTTGGAGCTTAAAGATCATCAACAATAGGAGATGGAGGGCAAGATGGAATTTCGTTCACACCTAATGTTGATAACACAGGTTTTTTGATGGAATCAATTCTGTCTGCCCTCTGGAAAAAATGATCCAGTGATGTCTGAGTAGTAGCTCTTTTTTTCTCATCATAGATGACTCTGTAACACTGGATTGCATTCTGAACGGCTGCTGCAACCTTTGTGTATCATTCTACGCTGGGATCCTGTGCCTCAATAACTAACAGTGCCTCTTCAAGTAAAGAAAATCCCCTTGCCATTTCCTGTGTTGTGAATCTCTTTGATTCTTCAGTTACATCTTCCTCTTGGCTCTCCTTTTCACTGGGCCTCTAATTCCATCAGGTCCTCATTAGTAAGCTCCTCGTGTTGCACAGCAAGGAGTTCAATGAAGTCATCCTCTTGCAGATCTAGCTCCAGCTTCATGCTAGGTTCACTAAGTTGTTGAAGACCTCTTTGGAATCCTTCTACCCTTCTTCTCAAGTTCATTAACTTCATGAACAAACTGTGGGCAAAGGTTCTTCCAAACCCCATTCATGTTGACAGCTGAGACCTCACTCCAAGCAAAATTGATGTTTTTTATGGCCTTGTAGATGTTATAGTCCTTTCAAAATTGTCATATGGTTGTTCCTGTATCATCAATTGCCTTCACTGCCTGACGAAAAGTGTGACGTAAATAATATTTCTGGAAAGTCTCAATAACTCTATGATCCATAGGTTGGATGAGTGCCGTAGTGTTCGGTGGCAGATGCACTACTTTGACATTGATATGAAAGTCATCCATGAATTGGGGGTGACCTGGTGCATTGTCAAGCAGCAAAAAAATGTTGAATGGGATATCTTTCTCCAAACAATATTTCTCTATCTCTGGGATAAAGTTGTGGAACAACCAGTCCTGGAAAATGGCCTGTGTAATCCAGGCTTTAGAGTTACTCTTCCTCACAACAGGTAGAGAGCCCTTGGCTATGTTTTTGTGGGCTCTTGGGTTCTCTGAATGGTAAACTAAGAAGCCGGAAGTCGGAAGCATTGCCACCAAACAACAGAGTAAGTCTGCCCTTTGCTGCTTTAAAGCCTGGCATCACCTTTTCCTCTTTACTGATGAAACATTGTTCTGGCATCTTCGACGTTAAAAACCTGTTGGGGTAAATAAGCACCTTCATCAATAATTTCTTAAAGTGTTTCTGGAAATTCTTTGGCAGCTATGGTATCTGCACTCGCAGCCTCACCACTTACTTTTACGTTGTGAAGATTGGCTTTACCCTTGAATCTGTTAAATCATCCATGGCTGGCAGTAAAAGATGCACACTGTTCATTGCGTTTTATCCTCAAGTCTTCAAACAGGCTTTTAGCTTTTTTTTGAATAAGCATTAAGCTGAGTGGGGCCTTGACACTGATGCTGATCCTGCATCCACACACTGAGAAGATTCTCCATCTCCTCTATCACTGCACCACACATTTTGGATATTATTGTTGACTTAATTGGCACAGCAGACTTCACATGTTCCATGATCTTGTCCTTGTTCTTTAGAATTGTGCCAATGGTTGAACGATTCATGTTATACAGTCAGGTCCATAAATATTGGGACATCAACACAATTCTAACATTTTTGGCTCTATACACCACCACAATGGATTTGAAATGAAATGAACAAGATGTGCTTTAACTACAGACTGTCAGCTTTAATTTGAGGGTATTTACATCCAAATCAGGTGAACGGTGTAGGAATTACAACAGTTTGCATATGTGCCTCCCACTTGTTAAGGGAACAAAAGTAATGGGACAATTGGCTTCTCAGCTGTTCCATGGCCAGGTGTGTGTTATTCCCTCATTATCCCAATTACAATGAGCAGATAAAAGGTCCAGAGTTCATTTCAAGTGTGCTATTTGCATTTGGAATCTGTTGCTGTCAACTCTCAAGATGAGATCCAAAGAGCTGTCACTATCAGTGAAGCAAGCCATCATTAGGCTGAAAAAACAAAACAAACCCATCAGAGAGATAACAAAAACATTAGGCGTGGCCAAAACAACTGTTTCGAACATTCTTAAAAAGAAGGAATGCACCGCTGAGCTCAGCAACACCAAAAGACCCGGAATACCACAGAAAATAACTGTGGTGGATGACCAAAGAATTCTTTCCCTGGTGAAGAAAACACCCTTCACAACAGTTGGCCAGATCAAGAACACTCTCCAGGAGGTAGGTGTATGTGTGTCAAAGTCAACAATCAAAAGAAGACTTCATCAGAGTGAATACAGAAGGTTCACCACAAGATGTAAACCATTGATGAGCCTCAAAAACAGGAAGGCCAGATTAGAGTTTGCCAAACGACATCTAAAAAAGCCTTCACAGTTCTGGAACAACATCCTATGGACAGATGAGACCAAGATCAACTTGTACCAGAGTGATGGGAAGAGAAGAGTATGGAGAAGGAAAGGAACTGCTCATGATCCTAAGCATACCACTTCATCAGTGAAGCATGGTGGTGGTAGTATCATGGCGTGGGCATGTATGGCTGCCAATGGAACTGGTTCTCTTGTATTTATTGATGATGTGACTGCTGACAAAAGCAGCAGGATGAATTCTGAAGTGTTTCGGGCAATATCATCTGCTCATATTCAGCCAAATGCTTCAGAACTCATTGGACGCCGCTTCACAGTGCAGATGGACAATGACCCAAAGCATACTGCAAAAGCAACCAAAGAGTTTTTAAGGGAAAGAAGTGGAATGTTATGCAATGACCAAGTCAATCACCTGACATGAATCCGATTGAGCATGCATTTCACTTGCTGAAGACAAACCGGAAGGGAAAATGCCCCAAGAACAAGCAGGAACTGAAGACAGTTGCAGTAGAGGCCTGGCAGAGCATCACCAGGGATGAAACCCAGCGTCTGGTGATGTCTATGCGTTCCAGACTTAAGGCTGTAATTGACTGCAAAGGATTTGCAACCAAATATTAAAAAGTGAAAGTTTGATTTATGATTATTATTCTGTCCCATTACTTTTGGTCCCTTAACAAGTGGGAGGCACATATGCAAATTGTTGTAATTCCTACACCGTTCATCTGATTTGGATGTAAATCCCCTCAAATTAAAGCTGACAGTCTGCAGTTAAAGCACATCTTGTTCATTTCATTTCAAATCCATTGTGGTGGTGTATAGAGCCAAAAATTGTAGAATTGTGTCGATGTCCCAATATTTATGGACCTGAATGTAAGAAGGAGCAATGCCTACCATCTTTTCGCCTCAGTCCAATCTCAATTATTTTCACTTTTGTTCCCACAGTTATTGCTTTGTGCTTCCTAGCAGTCCCCTTCACATCACCACTGCTTTTCCTCTTGCTTCCAGACATCCTGGGCTCTGATTGAGCACTGTACTACTGTACACTAACTCACTGTACAGTAAGCACACGTCAGCACAAGTGTGACAATGTCCGGCAGGCACGTGAGCTACATCCGTGATTTGTTCACATCTATGAATGTTCTTAGTGCGAGTTCCTTTCGTATCTGTGAAAATTTGCAACTCAAATGTTCGTAAGACGGGGACTTACTGTAATTCGTTTTAAGATCGTATGCTTTTATTTTAAACTGGGTAGCTACTTACTCGACATTGCACCTGCTTCAATAAATTCTACAGTTTCCTGTTTTTGTCACTACTAGGGTAAAACAGCTGTGGAAGAATTCTCACATGACCCCAGGGTAGGGTCTTGTTAACAGAATGACCCTGCTTGAGCATCAGAGTATTTTAACCACCTCAATACAAGACACTTTTACCCCCTTCCTGCCCAGACCAATTTTCAGCTTTCAACGCTCTCACACTTTGAATGATAATTAGAAATTTGAAAAAAAAACCCTGCATTTAACTTCATTTCTGTTATATAATTTTACAAATAAGTAATTTTTCTTCATAAATTTGGGCCAAAATGTATACTGCTACATTGCTTTCATAAAAATAATCCCAGTCGGTGTGTATTATTTGGTCTGTGTGGAAGTTATAGAGTCTTCAAGCTATGGTACCAATCACTGAAAATTGAACACTGATCAAACCTGATGTACTGATGGCCTATCTCATTTCTTGAGACACTAACAAGCCAGGGCAGTACAAATACCCCCCAAATGACTCCTTTTTGGAAAGTAGATATTCCAAGGTATTTAGTAAGATGCATGATGAGTTTTTTGAACCTGTAATTTATTTCCCACAATTCTTTGGAAAATGAAGAATGTAAATAAAATTTGTTTTATTTTTCATACAACTGTTATGTTAACAGGTTATTCCTCTCACACAGCATATGCATACTTTCAGCTTCACCCCAAAACACATTCTGCTACTCCTCCTGAGTATGGAGATACCACATGTGTAAGACGTTTCCACAACCTGGCCACATATAGAGGCCCAACATCCAAGTAGGACCTACAGGCGTTCTGGAGGCATAAATTACACATCTAATTTCCTGACAACCTATCACATTTTTGAAGGCCCTGCAGCACCAAGACAATGGAATTACACACAAAATTACCTCATTTTTGAAAGAAAACACCCCAATGTATATTCTACGAGGCATAATGAGTCTTTTGAACATGTAATTTTTTTCCACAAGTTTTCCAGAAAATGTGGAAAGAAAATGAAAATGTATTTTTTCTTTACACAAAGTTGTCCATTGATAAGATATTTCTAACACATAGCATATACATACCAAGAATTACACCCCAAAATGCATTCTGCTACTGTACCCGAGTATGGTGATACCACATGTGTAAGACTTTTCCACAGCCTTGCACATCCAGAGGCCCAACATCCAAATAGCACCTTCAGGCTTCTAACACATAGCACGTACATACCAAGAATTAAACCCCATTCTGCTGAGCAAAGGCTAAACAAAAAACTTACCTGTGGTTTTAGTAGTGCAGTTGTCCACAGAGGAGAGCATTGGTCAAGGAAGCAAACAGGGACTTGGTCAGCGACAGCAAAAGGAATTGCTTTGGTCCAGAAAGCAGGAAGACATGTGGTCAGCAACAGCCAAATGAGTTGTCCAGGCAAACACATGGTCAGCACAGCCAAAATATCAGTCCTGGTAGTAGGCAGGGCAGGGGCGGACTGACAACTCATGGGGCCCTCGGGCAATAGGGGATCATGGGGCCCCTGTGTCCTTGCCCACACTCAAAAAAAGCCTATAAAAGGTACCAGGGGCATTTCATGGGACATGGGTCATAGTACAGGTAGCAGACAGAGATGTACGTAGTCAGTTCATGCGGCAGGCAGAGGCATGGTGGCAGTAAGTCAGTAGGCAGGAATATCAGGCTTAGGGGCTTGGTCAGGTAAGACCTGGGCACATGGGTAGAGGCTTCATCCCACCCAATCTCTTCGAAGCCTCCGGACTAACAGACCCTTTTCCAGGAATTACAAAACCCAGAGAAAATCAAAAACGTTGTTTTCTCCACTCGGAAAATCTATTCTGGAGCCCCTCACATACATGAGACCCCTGCATTGTCTTGAATCCAACTAATAGAGTTGCAGGGTATAAGATCAGTTCAGGAGGCAGGCAAAAATCATGGTTAATTAGCAGGCTGAGGTCAATTCACATGGAAGGCAGAAACATGGTTGATAGTTCAAGCGGCAGGCAGAGGCATCATCAATAAACAGTCCAAGGTCAGTTCAGGCGGCAAGCAGAGGCATTGCTGATAAACAGTCCAGGTCATACAGGGAAATAGGCGATAGTGGACACTGGAAAAATATCTTGACTAATAGTGTAGAGATGTGTGATAGATCCGGAAGCACTCTCCAAAACAGAGTCCTGGCTAGGAAGGACATTGGTGACAGTAGTATTGGGTGTCAAGGCAAATTTAGTTACTGGAACCTACACAACATTTTTTGGGGGGTTTGGGTAAGAGGGTGGATATCGGGGAAATGCCTCTCATTGAGTCTGGCAAATGAATCAGAGCGAATTTGTTCAGGGGCATGGCCATGCAGATAGAGAAGGTCTGAAACAATATCCCCTTGATACTTCAGCTAGGTTAGAGATCTTTGAGTGCACTTAAAAAAGATAACATACGAATTGTACAGGGCTAACTGAAACAAGTAGATCGCAACCTTTTTATACCAATAGAGTGATCTCCTGGTGGCTTTAGTACTGGTCATTCATATCCACTGCCCCCATGAACTGGTTATAGTCATATATGCATCTTGGTTTCTGGATGGGACCTTGTCTCGTTTGAAGTTCCACTGAGGTGTCATCATGAATTGAGGAAAGGATATAGACATCTCTTTTATCTTTCCACTTTAGGGCTAGGATCTCTTCATTCCGCAAACTGGCTGTTTCACCCCGTTTAATTTTGTAGTGACCAATTGTTGTGGGAAGCCCTTGCGGTTGGACCATGCTGTCCCACAGGCCTCAGTTTTCTTCAATAGAGATGGCAGAATAATGGGGAGACTTGTATAGAAATGATCTAAATACAAATGGTAACCCTTCTCGAACAGTGGTTCTATAAGCTGCCAAACAATTTTGCCACTTGTCCCCATATAGGTAGGGCATCCAAGGGGGTCTAGCTGACTGTCCTTTCCCTCAAAAATCTTGAAGTTGTAGGTATATCCCGTGGCTCTGTCACATGCCTTGTAGAATTTTATTCCATATTTGGCCCATTTACTGGGGAGGTACTGTTTGATGCCAAGCTTTCCAGTAAAGTGGACTAGGGATTCATCTACACAAATATTTTTGTCGAGGGTAAACATTTCCTTGCAGGTACAGCAAAAAAAGTTGATTAATGGCCAAATTTTGAATAGCTTATCATAATCAGGATGATTTCGAGGAGGAGACTGGATATTATTATTAAAATGCAAAAACCTCATTATCATTTCATAGCGTGTTCTGGGCATACAAGATGAATGGACTGGCATATGATGTATAGGTTGGGTAGACCAGTAGGCATGGACTTCATTTATTTTGTCAGTCCCATGTTCAAAGTAAGCCCAAGAAAATTTTTTAAATTCCTCCACGGTGAGGGGTTTGCACACAAATGGGGGGGGGCATATGATGAATTAGGATTGTTGGCTATGTATTGGCTGGCATACAGGTTACACTGCTCCACAATGTAATTTAGCAGATCATCAGTAAAAAATAAATGAAAAAAACAAATTCGGGTATAATTTTCTGCTTGTTTGTGAGGGCCTGGCTGTGCTGTAAAAGGGGGAATTGTAGGTTCTCTCGAATTAGCAGGCAGCCACGTGGGATATAAAAGTACATCTGGGAGGCTAGTATGGGCTCTACCTTGTTGTGGCTGGGAAACCCTGCTACTATTGCCTGGCCTTTCATCTGGGAATGTGGCCCTGCTTGTACTTGCCATGGCACCAGGATTTGTAGTGCTACTGGTGGATGTCTGTCTGTCTTCTGGGAGTGCTGCACTGCTTGTACTCACCACTGCGCTACTGGTGGATGCCTGGTCCTCCTCAGATCTCTTGAACCTCTTTGTTTGGACTCTCTCCTCCTCAGAATCTGTTGCTGACCCATTGCTTTCAACTGGCTCATACTCAGAATCTGAGTTTGACAAACAGAGTTCCCCTCTACTCTCGTCCATCATACTCAGTATCTGGAAAGCCTCCTCACTGGTGTACAATTTTTTAGACATTTTGATGTTCACTGGTACAGATGTTTATCACTGGTACAGATGTTGATTTGACACTGGTACACTGTGACAGATATTGAGCACTGGTAAACTGTGACAGATGTGGATCACTGGTACAGATGTGGATCACTGGTACAGATGGTCATGACCACTGGTACACCATGATGGATGTGGATCACTGATAATGTGTGACAGATGTGGATCACTGGCACTGTGACAGATGTGGATCATGGGTACTGTGACAGATATGGATCACAGATGTGGAACACGGGTATGGTGACAAATGTGGATCATGGGTACAGTGACAGATGTGGATCATGGGTACAGTGACAGATGTGGATCACTGGCACTGTGACAGATGTGGATTACAGATGTGGATCACTGGTACTGTGACAGATGTGGATCATAGGTACTGTGACAGATGTGGATCAGTGGCACTGTGACAGATGTGGCTCACGGGTACTGTGCAGATGTGGATCACTGGCACTGTAACAGATGTGGATCACAGATGTGGATCACGGGTACTGTGACAGATGTGGATCACGAGTACTGTGACAGATGTGGATCACTGATACTGTGACAGATGAGGATCACAGATGTGGATCACTGGCACTGGGACAGATGTGGATCACTGGTACTGTGACAGATGTGAATCATGGATACAGTGACAGATGTGGATCACTGGCACTGTGAAAGATGTGGATTACAGATGTGGACCACTGGGACTGGGACAGATGTGGATCACTGGTACTGTGACAGGGTGATTTTAACTCACAGGTCGGCTTCTCCGCACTCGTGGGTTCTGTGTGAAGAGAGGCAGGGCCATTCACCTGAATGGCGGCTTCGTTGACATCACATGACAACTGTGATTGGACACAGCCATCATGTGATCAGAGGGCCCTTCTTCCGAGGGGCATTGCACTGTGTCCAAGGGACACAGGCACACCAAGAGCGTGCAGCTGCATGGCTACAAGGCTGCATGCGCGCATTTCCTGAAGGATGTTCCTGAACGTCCACTCAGAGCGGTGAAGCTCCCACCTGGCCATTTATGTGCAGTGTCCAGATGGGAAGTGGTTTAACATCACAGCCAACTATCCCTCTTTTTTGAGACTAAATCCCTCTGTCCTTCGTGTAGCTTCAGTTGTCCCTCATTTTGGTCTGATGCACACATCTCAATACAAAATTCATTATTTTGCTACCAAAATGCTGCAATAAACTTTTTAATAATCCTCTATATTACTGCATTTGACATTTTAAAAATGCACTTGTGTGGATTAGCCAATCTATTTCTGCATGTTTGATATTTGTGTGTGTCCTCGTAACTGGGGCCATGACAGGGATGTGTTCTTTGCATAAATACTTTTGGAGAATTTATTAAATCCCTAGGCGCACTTTCCCTGTTGCCAATTTCCATAGCTTTACCAACACGTGTCGCAGATTCAGGTAATTGTTAACCACTTCCATACAGGGCACTTTTACCCCCTTCCTGCCATTGTACCCAAACTAAAATTTTATAATTTTCTTCACACAACTAGAGCTTTCTTTTGGTGGTATTTAATCACCACTGGGGTTTTTCTTTTTTGCTAAATTACCAAAAAAAGACTGAAAATTTTGAAAAAAACCCCACGTTTTTCTTTGTTTCTGGTATAAAAGTTTGCAAATAAATAATTGTTCTTCATAAATTTAGGCCAAGATGTATTCTGCTACATTTCTTTAGTGAAAATAAACCAAATTAAGATGTAATATTTAGTCTGTAGGAAAGTTATAGAGTTCACAAACTATGGGATATATCTGAAAATTGATCAAACCTGAAGTACTGACAGCCAATCTAATTTCTTGTGGTCCAGGAATGTCAAAACAGTACAGATATCTCCCAAATTACCTATTTTTTGCAAAGTAGACAGTCCAACGTATTTCATAACAGGCATGGTGAGTTTTTTGAAGTTGTAATTTTTTGTAGTTTGTCGGAAAATGAAGAATTTAATAAAATTATTTTTGCTAATTTTTTTTTTTTACATACTGTCACCAGTGCAGTACAGCGCCATCATATAAACTGGCATGGCGGTGATCAGGGACACTGACTGGTGACAGTATGAAAAAAAAAAATTGATAATACATTTTTTTTTTTATTATTTTTAATTTTTAATTACATTTTTTTCTCTTTTTTTAAGATTTTTGTTTTCATATTTCAGTATGACCAAAGTAGTACAATGTTACCATAGTAAGATTATACTACTTTGGGGAAGTGATCAGTATTTTTTTTTTTTTTTTTACACAATTTGCTTATAGCAAAGAATTACTTTGCTATAAGCAAGCATTTACCTAATTGTGATTAGCTGTGATTTGGCCACAGCTAATCACATGACACAGCTGGGCTGTGATTGTCCCAGCTTGTGCACGTGATCGCTGTGACCATTGACAGCTAGACACACTTGTATACAATGGATGGCATGAAAGGAAGCCATCCATTGTATACAACTGTCCTGTGACCTGCTGTGATTGGCTACAGCAGGTCACATGGTACTGGCAAGGGGGCCGGT